TATCCGTTTGGCCACACATTTGCGAAAAGTAAGCCACAAGCGATAGTTTGGAAAGCCGTGTAGGGATGGCGATAGCCTAGAAGTTGGCGAGGTTGATCGTTGGATGTCGAGCTTTGGTAAAAATTAACTTAAACATACGATGGAACCAAATGTGCTTGAAACAGTTCAATAGACCGCTACTGAATTGGGCCTACTCAATTTGTGGTTTCAAGTTGCATGAAATAGCTTAAGAAGCATGACAAGTTCGTAAGGTGGTATCGCGAATATCCGAGGTTCCGTAGGGCCGTCTGCCTTTTTCCTACAATTTTCCATCCAATGAAAACTACCTTTTTATTGCTTGGATTGTGAGTTACAATGTGGAATGAATTCTTCTCATTACTTATGAACTTCGGCTAAGTTTCGATCACGACTGGGGTCAACAAAGTTTTGCAAAGGTGGAACTGTACAAAGGTAAGGTTGTGGTGCCCGCTACGCAGTCTATAGCAGGAGCACCTTTTCGCGCACAGGCGGGACTTTAATAGTGGGACAGTATTCTCTACGTCTCTACATATTCCAAAATCTTGACACTGGCGACCAGCAAGCGTTGCTATAAAGGGTTGAATCTTTTCTGCGACGCACCTCAGCCGTCGACCGCAGAACTGATCCTGCAAAAAAAAATGATCAAGGCACTGACTAAGTTTAAAGCACTGACTAAGTTTAAAACATCCACTATCCAGACCACTTACCTATTCACCATTTCTTTTCAAAGGTCTGGATAGCACAATAATGGAGAAAGGCCACGAAACCCAACATGATTAAAACGACCTCCGCCTAGTTCATCGCTTCTAGAACCCCAGTACTTCCAGTGAACTAACTGATCAAACACATGTAATGTTGGCAAAAAAGAGTAGATCCAACTGGCTTTTATTGCGGTCGAAAACGTCGCTTTTGATTCGAGATATGCACATTTGAATTTCAGGGTCCGACCGGCCGAAACTTTCCTCACAGCCTAATACACACCTGCATCTGCACAGGATCTGTCCCTAGTGTTGGAACCAAATGGCCATGAAGTGTCTTGTTCAGATCATGCATTGATAACAGAGTGAGGAGTTCATTTTCAGACAGCTCCAACTCTATCATGCACTTTTACTAAACTCAAGCCTGGAGCAACACTTTTCGGGACTTCGGTGTTCTCTCAGGGAGGTTTCAACGCCAGAGATTGTCTGAAGAAATGCTACGAACTCGAGGCTTGTTCTGGCGCTATTTTCAATGAAGAGGTTAGCTCCTACTGAGTTCTATAAGCAAGTAAATCTGACCAAGGCTGTCCGTTCGAAGTGTTTTTCACATTTTGGAAGTTATTTCACTCTGTAATCTGATTGGCCAAGGTGCACCCCTAACAGTGAGCGCAACTATGTACCCTGAGATTTCGACAACAGCGTGATTGCACTTGAGACAATTGCACTATCACGGGATGCCCTGAATAGTATTTATTCAGGTCCTTTAAATTATAGTCGAAAATACTCTGCAAAATTGTACTGTAGTTGTTTTTACGCTGTATGCCGAACGAGGTTTTTAAGATGGAATATTTATAATTGGCTACGCTTCGACCAGATGGTCTTCTTCAGAGCCCTGGACATAGTCTGGAGCTTTTGATTTGTTAGCTACTCGACCAACCATTTATATTAGGGTGTCCCAAAAGTTTTGCAAAAATTTCGACAGTCGATTTCGCAACCATGTTGTGTGCGAATGCGGCAAAGCAGATCCACAGGACAAATGGTGGAAAAGGGGCGTGGTTGGTAGATCGTCAGTATGGTTAACCGATATTGTACTTCGTCGTTGGAAGTAAGTTATCATCAAACGAACTATGTCCAACCGACACCACTACCGGCGTCTTCTGCTTCATTATTGCGGATCTCGTCTCTCCGCCGCTCAAGCATTGCATGAGTTATGGTCGTCGATGGGCAGCAGTGCACCCTCCATTCACATCTGCTACAGGTGTACGCTCGATACTCTAGAGGAGAGATTTGCCTCGACAAAGCTCCTCGAGGAGCAAGCCCACGTTCCTCTAAGACCGACACTCTTCTAGCTTTCGCTCGGAGCAATACCTCTCAAAGTTTGAGGGGGATGAAGAGAGCGGCTACCACTCCTCATTCCACCATCCATAAGATTCTGCGCAGAAGTCGCGTTCTTGCAGCGCTCCCTGGAGTCATCTCCCACTCCCTAGCTGAACACGGGCGTCGAGTGCGAGTTGATGTGTGCCAGTAACTTCTCGACCGTAAGGGAACGAAGACATAGACAGACTTGATGATCGCTTAGGAAGATAAGTGGATGTTATGTGAACATCCACACAGGACTTGCAATGGCTACCAGTGGAAGAGTAGCCACAACCAACCCCGAGGCGATGCGACCACAACAAGAAAGGATTGGTCTCCATAGTTTCCTGCTACACCGGATGAGATCCTACTCGAGTGTGCTGCTGTGACCGCTAGAGCATTATGCAAACAGCTGCGAGAGATGGTGTCCTGTGCCCCCATTTTACACCAATTACGAGAAAAATTCCTAATCGGGATGGGCAGTGCTTACCCACGTCGTGCGAGTACGACGATGGAGGAGCTGGAGAAACTTGGCATCATCTGGCTACCCCATCCGCCGTATTCACCTGACCATACCCATTGTGACTACCATGTCTTCAGAAGGCTTTAAGCTCAAAACAGAAGGAAAAAATCCAACAACTGTCAAGAGGTCAGGTGTGCAATAGGTGAATTGATCGCGTCACGCTCCTCTTCCTTAGGAGAAGGGCATCAGCGCTCTTCTCAATCCATGGAGAGGGGTCGTGGCTAAGAAGGGCCGCTACATAGATTACTGATCCTACGTTTCTTTCGTAAGAATTTTGTGTTGAACAAGCAGACCGAATTTTTGCAAAACTTTTGGGACACCCTAATAGTATTCTCGACAGGAACGTTCCGAATACCCAGTTATAAAGACTCAACTCACCGTAGATTGCACCACTGTGAAGCAGTAGCTCGCGCACTGGTTAGTTGACGTCAATGATGTGAATGAGCCCTGCTCAAGTCTCATGGTGTTATATAGGTCAAGGCTGTCAATGTGCACGTCACGCTCATAGCTCACAGTTTGAAACAAAAAGTAAGAGCTCATGCGTAATCGACGGGCATTCGTTCCGTTCATTCCTGAACATATACTGGAACAATACAGAGAAGACTAGCATGGCCCTGCTCAAAGACGACACGCAAAGTCATAAAACGTTCCAAATTCTTTCAAATCCGATGCTAGGTTTGACATGTATACCCATGCGCTCATGTCAAGTGATGTTATCCTTAGCACCACCCATCTCACATTACTGTCTGAGTGTTAGTCTCATTGCAGTTTTATTCCCCTTGCTACTCTTCGATTAGTCGGTTTTTGGTGTAGGGTGGCTGAGAAGCATGTGAGCCTCGTTCGACAGGATGTGCTAGGTAGGTTTGTGTTGCTTGTCTTCCTATGTTACTATAGATGCCAGTTGAAGTTGCTAGTTTTTTTTTTTGCTTTTTGGATTGCATTCACAGACGGACTATCGAATCAAAAGAAAGAAAATTCTGGCCGTTCATTCTAAGTTCCCTTGCGAGAATCCAGAATGCTCCCAAGATTTTTCTGGATGAGATCTCAGTCTCGTACGCCAACGCAGAACATTTTACATCAGAGTCGTTCCCATTGTGCTCCGCAATCTTGTGAGTGTCATGTGGGGTAGCTACATTACCACACCGCTTCCCAGCTAAATACTCTTAAATACGAATACCTAGTGCTTTCACAGTTCTACAATACACGTGCTGTCAAATACGGCACATACAAGCTGGTAAATTGTTTATAAATAAATAATCAATTAAAATACTTATGAATAAATAATTAAATAATTTGTTCAACTTATGAATTAATAATTGAATAGAATATTTATAAACAAATTCTCAGATAATTTACCAGTTTGAACGTGCCGTATGTAACAGCACGTATGTATATTGGAGGAACTGGGTGTTCGTATTCAAGAGCATTTAGCTGCAAGCGGCGTGGTAATGTAGCTACCCCATTTGGCAAGCACAAGATTGCGGAGCATAATGGGAACGACTTCGATGTAAAATGTTCGTTGTTGGCGTACGAGACTGAGATCTCATCTAGTGAGGCCTTGGAAGCACTATGGATTCTTGCGAGGAAACCTAGAATAGTTCCCAGGCTACGGAAGATTACGAATAACCTCTTGTCTTTTGCTCCAAAGTGCGAGATATAAGCGCGACGTGCAAATTGATTGTGTTGACCTATAGTACACTATGAGACTTGGGTAGGGTTCATTCGCATCATTGACGTCGACTAACCAGGGCGTGAGCTACTGCTCTACATCGGTAGAATCGACTTAAGTTTTCATAACTGGGTAATTGGATATATTCTCGACGTTCCCGACGTTGGGAATACTATGTATAAGCGGTTGGTCGAGTAGCTAACAAATCAAAAGCTTCAGACCATCTCCAAGCCTCTGAAGAAGACGCGGTCGAAACGTAAGGCCAGTTAATAAAGATTCTATCTCAAAAACCTCGTTTGGCATACAGTGTAAAAGCAATTACAGTACAATTGACATCAAATGCCGAGGTCTCAACAAAGGACGATATGGAGACTCTGTGAAATGTTTCTAGTAAAAACATTGCGGCGCCCTCGCTGCAGCTCACGCAGAAGCAACTCTCTTCACTTTCCTCACACTAGACGAACTATCGTCGGCAGAATTGTTTTTTTGCATGTGTCATGCACACGCCTCCCCCCCCCCCCCCCCCCTACCTATAGAGTTCTTCTGCACTCTCTCTCTATACGTACGCTAGTTCCTTACGAGTGACTCAGTACGTCGGTCAGGTAC